GGGGGGGGGGGCGCTGGCGAGGCGGCTGGCGTTGGCAGAGCCGGGAGGCTGGCAGAGGGCGGGAAGGGGTCGTGTGGGCGGGCGCAGGCCGGCGGGCCGGCGCCACATGACATGCAGGAGCCACCTGCCAGGTGGGCAGGTGCTGCCCCCGCGGCAGTGACACCATTGAAACTGCCGCGCCGCACGGCCCCTCCCTGCCTCCCGACCCGGCGCGCCGCCCCGAACTACACACACACACACACACACACACACACACACACACACACACACATGTGCACGCCCTGCAGGCGGCGTGAGGGAGTGCTTCAAAGTGCTACGCGGCCTGCTGGCCGAAAATTACGAGCTGGGAGACCTGCCTGATGACCCCTCGCCGCCCGCTGTCGAGGGCGCGCCAGGGGCGGAGGCGGCGACGCCCTCTGCTGCCGGGTGCGCCGGCTGCACTGGTCGGCTTTGTGCGCGTCGCGAGCAGCAGCGACATGTGCTGCTGGCTCACTTCTTACCTCTAGTAAAAGAGATTCCGCATGCCCTAGTCTGGCGTGCCTACGCACCCTCACCACCCTCACCTTGAACAGGCGGCGCAAGCACACAGTGCAAGCCCACACCCCGACAGAGCACACGTTTCTCCCTCTCCCCCTCCTCCTGTGCAGGCCCTCGCCGGCAGCCGCAGCGCCGCCCCCCGCCCCCGGTCGCCTGGGCCTTGCCGGTATGCTGGCCTATCGCAGCCTGGTGGCGCGCCTGCTGCGCCTCCACGACCCGGGGGCGGCGGCCAAGGCCCTGGCGGCCGTCCTCACCGTCGCCACAACAGCCGCCCTCGCGGCCGCGCTGCGGCCGGCACAGGAGTGGTGCCTCGGCGGCGGCGGCGGCACCGGCGGCGGCAGCGGAGGTTTCCTGCGCCATGCAGCGTGCTGGCCAGTGGAGAGGGGGCTGGTGCTGTTGCCAGAGAACGCTGGGCAGGTGGTCGCCGCGCTGGCGCTGGTGGCGCTGTCCGCTCGGCTGCTGGCGGCGAGCGCTGAGGTGGCAGATATATGCCTCAGGTGTGACGGGTGGCCGTGTTGGGCTGGGCTGTGCGTGGGCGGCGGCTGGAGAGTGGCAGCAAGGGCAGGGGCTGGCGCATACTCGTGCTTGGGAAGGCACAGTGTTGCATAGAGCAGGGTGCGTTGTATTTGCCACGATTGGTGCGGCCTGGGGAAGACGCAAGGCCAATCCAGGTATGAAGGAGGGAGGATTCTCCCATTGCAAGAGGGCAGTGGACACCGTTGAGTCTGAGCACTCCCGCCACGCGCTGCCCATACTGCTGCCGCCCCAGGGAGGCGTCACTGGCCGCGACCCGCCGCGCGACCGGGCGTGCGCGCGCCGTGGTCGCGGCCGCGGCCAGGGCCGACGCGGCGCGCGCCGCGTATGAAGAGGCGGCGGCCGCGGCCGCGGCGGTCGCTTCAGCGATCGATTCGCGCGCGCTGCGGGTCGTGCGGCTGCCGCCCGGCAGCGGCGCGGGGCTGCGGCGGCTGGAGCGGGAGGCGAGAGAGGCACAGGAGGAGGCCCAGCGGCAGTCCACGTCCTTCTCCGCCGCTCAGACCGGGCCTCCCGGGGGCGCACCCGCTGGCGCACCACACCACCCGCAGCCCGCCCCCTCGCCCGCCGCCTCCGCGCCGCGGCCGACCGCAGGCGGGGCGGGGCTGCTGCCGTCGGCGCCGCCGCAGCAGGGCGGGGCGGGGCCGCTGGGTGCGGTGGTGGCGGGGCTCGAGCTGCTGCGCGGCACACCGATAGGGGAGGATTTGGCAGCTCTTTGGGACGGCCTGCTCATCACCGGCCGCGGGGCGCTGCTGGGGCCGTGGGCGCCGCAGCCCGGCGGCGCGGCTGGCGGCGGGGAGGACGGCGCTGATGTGGCGCTCTCCGAGGTGAGTGGTTCCGCGTGGCGTTGGGTCTGATTGATTAACTTTTCTGAGGCGTCTTTCTCACCTCTGCTCGCATCAGCCAGCATGCCTGAAGAGAGGTCTGGCCGGTTGGTACTGGCTGGTGGAGCCACCCTCCACACACCATGAATTTGTTTGCAGCCGCAGCCACCGCCGTGAATGTGCGGGCACCTGCACAAGCAGGATAGGCGGCCCGCCTCTACTGGACTGCTAGTAGCGCGTGCCCCATGCGCCCGGCCTCCCCGCCCGCCTCCCCCCAGGTGTTTGAGCACGAGCGGGTGCAGCCTTTTCGCGGGTGGGGCCACTCCTGGCCGGGCCACTTCCTGCCCAGCGACCGCGTTGGCCACTGGGGGGACCGCTGGGGACGGGCGGGGGGGCGGGACGGCATGCGATTTGAGGACGTCGTGCCGCGGCTGCCTGCCGGCTGGGAGTGGGCGGAGGACGAGTGGCACGTGGACATGACCGGTGCTGAGGAGGACCGGGTGGATGCTGAGGGCTGGAGCTACACAACAGACTTCAGGTGGGGGCGGTTGGCGGTTGCGGCGGTTGGCGATTAGCAGTTGATGTTCATCGGCTGATGATGCTGGGCTGGCAGTTGCATGCGATGCCGCCCGCCCGCGGCGGGCGGGGACGGTAGTTCGCCGGTGGTGTGGTTAGCCAGCCTCCGGATGTATAGGCGGGTCATTTTGCTGCTCTCATGCAGCTGGCTGGGTTGGACGTGACCGACTGTGGGCTGTGGCATCATACAGCTGTGGTGCCACTGCTGCATCAGGTCGTTCATGCATGCGGCGCCTGGTACCGCACTGGGCTAAGCTGGTAGCATTGTGCACCTTTGGGATGGGCACCAATTTTATCTGCACGTCAGCATCTCCCAGCCTAACCACAAATCCTATGCTGAAGAACTGTCTGCTCTACTCATTTGGCATGACCACCTGTGTGCAACCAATTACGCCTCTCTGGTCAGCATGTTTACGTGGCCGCCACAGCCAGGCCAGGCACGGGCCAACATTTCGTCATTCGTCCGCCGCCGCCGCTGGGTGCGAGCCCGCGTGCGCGTCGAAGGCGCCCCAGGCGAGCCGCCGCGCGGCATCCCTGCGCGGCCAGGGCGTGCCTCCGCGCCGGCTGGTCCTCGCGCGGGCGCGCGGCGCGCGCGCGCGGCTGCCCGCCGGCAGCAGCGGGCGCTGGCCGTGAGGAGCATGCCGCTGCCGGATCTTGGCCGATCCCTCGCCAGCAGCGACGAAGATATGGAGGTTCAGGAGGCCGGAGCCTCAGACAGCAGCGAGCGGTCGGATGCTGCCGAACGCACGTTGCATGTGCAGCGCATGGCGAGCGCGGACGGCACGTGCATACTGAGAGAGGGGCCCCCGGAGCCCCCGGCCGTGGCCGCAGCGTCACAGCCAGAGGCAGGAGCCACGGGTGGTCCTCAGCCGCTCATCGTGCGGCAGGATGGCGCGGCCGTGATCAAGGGAGCTTCAGCGGAAGCGGCAGCTTGCGGGACGGCTGGCCTGAGGCGCAGAGAGGCTGCTGATGCAGCGAGGGCGTCGGAAGCTGGCCAGCCACCTTTGAAAGCAGCGCGCGTGAGCTTCGCTGTGGAGGGGCAGCAGGAGGCAGCTGAGGTGGGTGGCGGGCAGCAGCAGCAGCAGCAGCAGCAGCAGCAGCAGCAGCAGCAGCAGCAGCAGCAGCAGGAGGAGGACGTTATTGGGCAGGAGCGGGGACAGGCGGGGCTGACCAGCGCCCACGAGGCTGCAGAGGTACGGGATCAGGACAGCCCAGGATTATCGGTGCATAGGGCAGCCCAGGCCAAGCGGCAAAGGCTCACTGCTCCGAAGGCGGCAGGCGTGCAAGGCAGCGGCGATCTGCAACAACCACCTGAGTCAGTGTTGCCAAGAGATGTCGTGGCTGAAGAGACTGACGGGATCGTCTCTGCGGCTGCCGTTGCCGCTGCTGCAGCAGCGGCAGCTGCGGACGCAGGGCTGGCCACCATTATGTTGTGAGTGTGTCCTTGTATAGCAGCAAGTCGGCAATACTTGCAGCCAGGCCAGAAGTGTGTGGATATTGCCTCCTTGATTTATTTGTACTCTGCGCAAGTGAAACAGGTTGAAGCTTTCTAGGTGTGACAGGGACCTTGTACAGCTGCTGCCAAATGTCAGCCTACTGCTCAAGCGGCTGACCTTCCTGTGTTTTTGTACAGAGAATTGGCGGCGTTTTTGAACGTGCGCTGCCTTCGGGTGCGACTCGTGTTGTGGCTCAGCGCTGCTGTGCTTTTTTGGAGAAGTTACCAGGATGCTGTTATTCACTTGCAGCCCTCTCGTGTAATTATCTTGAGTTGCTTGGGCAGCGTGTGCGTTGCTCGTGCATGCAGCGGCTTATGCGACATACCTCGCCGCCAATGTACTGTGAGCAGCGGCTGCACGCTTGGACACGCGGCGCTGCCCCTTGCCTACGTCCGGCGCGTTTGTGCTGCATGTCTCCAGCAGATATTGCCTTCTGCCAGCTGACCAGGATGGCGCAGTGAGCGCCTTGGCAGGCTTGCAGTTTTTTTGCAGCCGAGCGAGTTCCATTGGCGTTCCTCGACACGCGGTGACGCCGCCTTTGACCAGAGGCACCGCTGTGGGTGTTGCCAGTTGCCTCGGCCGAGGTCTCACTTTACGCTGAATCAAAGTCCACCCAAAGTCAGAGCGAAGGCGCTGATGAGCCAAGCACTTGTAGAAGCTGGTGGCATTGCCATTGGAGAGGCACGCGCCAGGTCGGCGATGCCACCCGGTCCAACACGAGCAAAAGCATCATATGATACGACAGAGAACGTCAAACATACCATGACGTATTACAAGTGATTGAACGCACGTTGGGCCCTTGCGATTCAAAGATCTCAGCGTTACCGGCTGTCGCAGCTTCGGCAAAATTAAAAGCACACTTTGCGATTATCTGCATGCCTGGTGAACAGCTGAGTGGGTAGCTTAGCCAACAAGTAACTCCTGACGTACGTCCTGCAGCAGCAGAGTTGGCGATGCCGCGCAGCGCAGTTGCGCCCGCCAGTTCGCCACGCCGCAGCGCGGCGCCCACCGCCATGCAGCAGCACGCAGCGCAGCCCACCCCCGAGGTGTCACGCCTAAAGGAGGCCGTCGCGTCAGGCCGCTCGCGCACGTGGCATCACGCATTCAGCGTCGCCTTTTTCGGCGCGTTGATGTTCGTCGCCGGCGCTGCGCCCGGCGCACTGCCGGCGCTGTTCCTGGGTTTCGTGTTTGTGGGGCTGCCCTGGCGCTTCGTCTCCTTCATTTCAAAGGTGACAGGGTTGCAGCAGGCCGAGCAGCGTATGGGCGGGCGACTCAGGGCAGCTGCTGCCCTTTGAAGCAGGCAGAGGCGAAGCTTCTGCATGCCAGCTCCACGCACCATCGCATCGTGTCGTCGTGCAGTGCATGGAGACGCATGGGGCCGTATAGCTCGCGCCCTTGAGGAAGTGCAGCAGGCATGTGCACTGTGTCGCCCTCGCGCCGCTGCCGCTTTGCGGGCGCCCGCGCGTGATGCCCCGCCGCCCTCCCACCCTCCCCATCGTGCATCGTGCCATACAGCGCTGGCTGTTCTTTTGCATCGACTTTTGCTATTTCGTAAACGTGGCGGCCGCGGCCTTCCTGCTGGCGGCGCCGGACGACCCCCGGCTGGAGGCTGCGGTGTACGCCCTGGCGGACGGCCCGCTGGCGGGCGCGCTCGTCGCATGGCAGTGCGCCTGGGTGTTTGGGGACAGCGAATACCAGGCCAGGTGCGCCGCAGCGCAGGGCAGGTTTGGACCGAGGAAGGAGGCCAGTTGACACACAAGTGGCTTTATTGAGGGGAGCAATGGATCGCGCCCGTTGCCATGCGCTGGGGCCTCCGTTGGCTGCATACCGTTGGAACCGTTGCGGGACGCTGTATCGTGTTGCCCAAAGCAGCGAGCAGGCCGCCCGACGCCTGCGCAGCTGAGGCCTTGATTGAACTGAGCGCGTCGGCCCTGCTGTCGCTGTGCCGACCCTCCGACTGCCCGTGCTCGCGGCTGGGCAAACAGGCAACCCCACCTCACACATTTCCTGCCTCCTGTTTCCACCTGTGCAACCCCCAGTGTCATGATGCACCTGCTGCCGGGCCTGGCGATTTTCGCTCACCGATACCACACGCCTCTCCAGCTCCGCGGCTGGCGCGGCCTCCTCGGCTGCGGCCGCCGCGTGGCCGCCTCCGCGTCGCTCGCCGCCTGCGTCGACGGCGCAGAGGCGCCGCACGCGGTCGAGCGGCCGGCGGATCTGGGGCTCTGGCTTGTGGCGGTGCCGTTGATGTTTTACGCGGCCTGGCAGCTGCTGTATTTTTTGGTTGTCCAGGTAGGTAGCGGAAGCTGACAGGGTTGCGGAAGGGCTGTCATCCTGTACCATTGCCACAGAGTTCCGTGTGATGCTGGCGCGGCACGTTGCATCGCACCGCTTGACCTCACACCCTCCCCCTCCGCCGCCCCTGCCGCCGGCACTCACAATAATGAAAAGGTCGCGCTCCGAGGTTACATCCAGCGGGGCGGGTATGACACGGTGAGTGGCCGTCCTGGCGTGATGCTCCCAGAATCCGCATGCGAGCCGCATAAGCGGAACGCTGCACGCCACGTCGGCAGCACTACTCTCCCCTCTTCCCCCACCTTCGCCCCCGCCCAGTCATACAACCACTTGGCGCGCCGAGCCGCAAAGTCAAACAACTTTTGGAACCGCCTGGTGCGATGCCGGGAACCCCACTCTGATTGCTCTCAGGACAGCCGAGCCCAATCCCGACATGCGTGCTGCGCAGTCGTTGTCGGCGGACCGCCTCCGGCCAGCGCGCAGCTCCTCCACTGCCTCCACTGCCACTGGCGGCTTGCCCTCAAGATAGCAGTAGCGTGCATGCTCGCCCATCAGCCAACCTGACCAGAGGCAACCTGCGACGGTCAAACCCCGCAGGTGCGGCGCGGCAGCGTGGCGCGCCGCATCACTATCTACGGACTGCTGCAGCTCGCGTTCACAGTGATCTCAATCGCCGCGTTCCTGCCCACATACTTCTCGTACGAGCTGGCCGTGATCTTTCAGATCGTCAAGATCTGGTTCCCGATTTTTTACGGCAGCCGCCACCAGTGCGAGAAGCTACCCCAAGTGGCCCTGAGGCAGGCGCTCGGGTTCACGGCCAGCGGCGGCCTGAGGGTCGGGGGCCGCCACCACCACAGCGGATCAGGTGCAGGCGCAGGCGCCAGCAGCCACAGCAACGGCGGCGTGGCGGGGCCGGCACTGGCGCGTGATGAGGGGGCGGCCGCTCAGCGCGAGGGCTTGCATATGCAGCGGCAGAGGGCTGGTGGCAGCAGCATCGGCGCGGGCGAGCGGGTGCAGGGCCGGCTGCCTGAGCAACTGAACGGCCGGCATTCCCGGGAGCGCAGCGGCTCGCACAGGGATGATCTACGGCAGCTGCGGCCGCGCAGCGGCGGCGGTGCACCGAACAGGCAGCTGACCTCCCTCTGATGGTTCGAGCCGCTGTTGGCCGCGCAGATTGCATCCGCCACCTCAGCGTAGCTGGGCTGCTGGCTCCGATGCGTGCGGCCCATTTGTGTCCTTTCTGAGGTACGGTTTGCACATTACAAACTGCCGCGTTCTCCTGGACCCCTCAGTGGACTTGTCTTGATCGCACTCACCATGTGGCACAGCCGAGACATGCACCTGTCACTGGACACACCATGGGAAGCTTGGCTGTGCCCGCTGCCTTTTTGGGCCTTGTTGCTGCTCTGCACCCTACCTGATTTGCTGAGCCGACGCCGCCGGCTGGCGTCACCCAATTCCGCGTGACTCGGTACTGATGGGTGGTGCATGCCAATGTATCCAAAAAATGCTCTTTTTTTGTTCCCTGTGCATTGCTATGGCGGGCACCACCATACGTGTCTCGGGCCAGCAGTCACCTATGTGACAAGGTCCGCTCATCCCCCATATTGACGTGGCCGGTTGGCCCCCTATTGTTTTCCACGCTCTCTGACAAAGACTTGCACCAAACACTCTAAAGTAACCCAAGCCTTCTGATAGATATACAGGCGTTGGCCACAAGAGAGGGCTATGGGGGCAAGCCTGTTGGAAAGAAACATGGCAGTTCTTCATCTTCAGGGTGCCCGACCGATGCTGGATGGGTGCTTGCTATGGCACTGGTGTGTGTTCTGACATACTCGCCCACAGTCTGTTTCGCCAGTTCACTGCAAACAGACAATCGATGGTGGCTGCACAGTCTCAATCATTTGCAAGGAACCTTCAGGTTTCCTGTGGTTGAGCTGCAGGGAAAATCGCGAGCACATGCGCTGTGGGCCATCAGTGGGCCATCAGCGGCCTAGTGGGGCGGCAGCTGCAGGGCCGCCCCTGGAAAGCCTGGTTGCCTCGCCAGCAGGGCGGGTGCAAACTATCACGTCCACGTAGTAGCAAGTGCGCTTGCCCTCTTGCGCATCCATTCACGCACCGATAGGTTGCAACGTGCTTGCGTGGCCCAACCCGTTTAGCGCTAGCAGCCCCGACGCTGCCAGCAGGCTGAAGGGAATTAGGCTGCAAAATTGGGTTGCAATGGATGACGGTGGGGCGGAGATCGCGAGGCAGAAGGCCGAAGCCAGGCGGCAGAAAATCTTGGCGCGCCAGAAAGACCGCTTGACAGCCATCACGGGCATATACTCTCAGCGACTAAGTGGTGGGTGCTGCGGGTGGCCGTGTGCAGCCGCGAGCTCATGGCGGCGCAGGCGAGCCGTTGCTGCATCGCGCTGGTGTTTCCGCTCGCACTATGCAGAAGCCGTCTCCATAGCCCGCACGCCATGCTCATGCTGTCCCCTTGCGCCCTTCGCCGACATGTTGACATGTTTTTAAGATGAGGCCGGGGCGGAGCAGCAGCAGTACCGGCAGCAGGAGCGGTTGCCTGTCAGCGCCCCGTCACAGCCCGAGTCCGGCGCCCCCGCGGCCGGCCCTCAGACGGGGGCGCCGCTCACAAGCCGGCCGGCTCCGCCCTCCACAGCAACGGGCAGTGAGGAGCAACCAGGCCGGGCGGCCGCGACAGGGGCAGCGGGGGAGGCGGAGGCAACGGGGCAGGAGCACTTTGAAGCGATCCTAGCAAACATACAGGCGTCGCTTCAGCAGGCGCACGCGGCGGCCGGCGGCGGCGCCGGCTTCGGTGCGGGCAGCAGCGGCGGCGGCGCGCCCTGGCAGCAGGCCGTGGGCGAGCCGCACCACGCCGCCGCGCAGCAGTGGGACGCGGACGCGGCAAACGCCGCGATGCAGACGCTCCTGGCGGGCATGCCCTCCGACCCATTGCCACACCATGTTGGGACGGGCCACTTCGACGGCAGCGACGGCGGCGCCGGCCCCGCAGGCGCGGGCGCGGGCGCCGCGGGGCGGCGGGCGCGCGGCGGCGGAGCCGGGCTGCTGGCGCTGCTGCGGACGGACGCGCCCGCGGTGCTGCTGTGGTTCGGCCGTGTGATCGGGGAGGTGGTCGCCTGGACCCAGCAGGCGCGGCTGCTGTCCGCAGTGCTCTTCGCGTACGCAGCCGCAGCGGGCCTGCTGGAGCAGCGACAGCAGCAGCAGCAAGAGCAGCAGCAGCAGCAGTGGCAGCCCTTCCGCCCGGCCTTCTCCTGGCCCGCGCCGCCGCCGGCCATCGTCCTCTGCTTCTCCCAGCTCGCCGTCGTCGCCGCCGCCACGCTCCTCTTCGGTCGCGCCGCCGCGCGGCGCCTGGCAGAGCGCGACGGCGCCGGCGGCAGCGCGGGCGGCGAGCGCGTGCCGGCGCGGGCGCGGCAGCTGGATCTGCTGTCGTTCCTGCCGGGGGCGCGGGAGGCGCTTTCTGGCCTGCAGGGGTACCAGGCTCTGGCGGCTGCCGTGTCTGAAGACCTGGCGGTTTACCTGCTGACCTGCGGCCTTCTGTCCCTGGCGGCGGCCAAAACGTGAGCGACTGCGGCGGCGCCGGCGTTGACTCGTAGCCCGCACGTGCGGCGCCCGGCGCCCCGGCGCGGCGAGTGCGCGTGGTGGGAGCTCCAGCGCGGCGGCCGACGCGGGGTGCGGCGTGGAGTGTTCCATCATCACGTACCGCTTTTTGTCGGCTCAAAAGGCCGTTGCAGTTGTACCAAGAAGAACGATGCTGGCGCTCCCTGTCTGCGCGCCCCTGCCGCTTGCAGTGCAGCACTGCTACTTGATTCGGGTGTAGGCTCTCCCCCCCCCCCCCTGGCGGCGGCAAAAACATGAAACGGCCTGCGGCAATGGCTACCTTTTGATGACAGGATGCCTTTGCATCTTCCTGACCCGGCGTCGATGCGCGGCGCGCCTGCCCAAAGCAGGCGCCCCAGCGCAGCCTGTCGCAGCACCCAGGGCGCCGACATGTTGGTATTCCCTTGTCGCTTAGGGGCCAACACACGCACACAACACAATGGTTTGTTGCCTTACGTTTCTTTGCAGTAACAGCAGCACGCGTGCGGAGGTTTGAGGGAACCTAACCCGGCATCTTTGCACATGTGCCAGCGCTCACATGGAAGCGTCAGCACACACACAAAGTTCATTGGCAGCCGCAAGCGGGCGTCGCGGGGTGGCGTGGCAAGGGGTGGCGTGGTGTATGTACAGAGGCCCTGGTTGGGGCTCAAGGTGCGGCTCGACCTCCATTCACGGAAGACCGCAGCGCCGCCGAGTGCGATAGCTGCAATGGGGCCGGTGCTCTGCATGCCCAAGGGCTGTTCAGGAGAAGGTAGGCTGGGCCCGGCGGCCCCTGGCCAGCCCCAACGCGCCAGCGCAGCTGCAGTCCGTGCATGACAGCACGCGCTGGCGCGCTGCGCCGGACCGACGAGACGCACGCCTGAGACATACAGGGGGGAGCTCTCGACGGAAGGGGGCCCGTGACGAGGGCTCCCTACAAGGATCCGTGGCTGCGGCCTGCTGACTGTTTGCCCCTTGTCCAGAAGGCCCATCTTGAGCAGCCAGGCCCATGGTGACGTCATCATCCCTCCCCCCTTGCCACCGACCCCCGGACTTCGCGTGATGTGTCCTTACAGGGCTGCGGCACGTGAGCGCGGCCGAGCTTTTGGCCTTCTTGCTGGGAGTCCCTCGTGCTGCCGCTGCTGGCGCCGCCGCCCGTAGTGCGTGCGTCGAAAGTGCCTCTGAGCTGCCTAGAATCAGAATGCTACACATGCGATTACAGCGATGACAGAAACACCGCACTCCTGCGTCACAGCGGACTGGCTGGCAAACTGCACTGCAGAGTGCTGTATGTACATGGGGGGTTGGGGGACGTGCAGCAACGGTGGTCAACACAAAGGGCCTTGGAACCAAGGCTGACTCCCTCAACGCAGTGATGACAGTGAAACAAATGCCGCCTGCTGTGTGTTGATACATCCACAAAAATCAACTGCTTTCCAAGCTCTGCACGAGACAGGGTCGGAGGGCAGGGGGAAGCTGCCGCGCAGCTGCCCACGTCGACGCGCCGGCCCCGCCGCCTCACAGGGCCGCCCAGCCCGCCAGCCGCCCAGGCGTCCGCCCGGCCCGCATGCACCTCCGGGAGCGCGGGGCCCGTTCAAATGGCAAAACAAACACACGGCTGCAGGCGCCACCTTAAGACTGCGCACGCCGCAGGCACGTGGGCGGGGCCAGCCGCAGCCCCTCACCACTCTGCCCACTCGTCCATGTGCTTGGGGCTGAGCAGGCTGCCCTGCTTTCCCAGCAGCGACCCGCCCGGCGCCGACCGCCGCTTGCCGTCCCCGCCCTCCTGCCGCCCGCCGCCGCTGCCGTCCGCGCTCCGCGTGACGGCGCCGCCGCCCGCAGAGGGGCGCCCGCCGCCGCCGGCTGCGCCGCCTGCGGAGCCGCGCGCGGCGGGCGAGGTGGGGCTGTGCTGAGGACTCGCCTGCCATGCGCCCCAATCGCCGCTGTGCCGCACGCCGCCCGCCTCGCCGCCGCCGGCGGCGACGCGCGCGCCAGCGCCGCCGCCACTGCTGCTCCTGGCAACGCCCGAGGCGAGCGCCGCGCCGGCGCGGCGCTGGTGCCACGACGCCGAGAGCGTGCCGCCGCCGCCGCTGCCCCGTGCGGCGAGGAGGTCGTCCAGCGACCTCGTCCCGGCATCCCCAGCCGTAGCGCCGACGCTGCCTTGTGTGATAGCTAACGGCAGCGCCGGCGCCGCCGGCGCCGCCGCCGTGGCTGCCGCCGGGGCCGCCGCCGGGGCCGGCCGCCGCGCGCCCTCGCTGGCCCCCGCGTCACGCTCGGGTGCCGGG